GAAATTATCGCGCCGATCGCCTCAGTGTTGTGCGCAGAGATTTATTTGTGACATGGGCTATGGCTTGAGCGATTTCAGTGTGCATTGGTTGAAAGAATTTCACTTTTTTAAGACCTTAAAGCCACGGCCTCCATCTATTTTCAATATTTGTTTTTGGCGAGGTTGCGTTCCGCCCCATCCTTGTGCTAAACGCTTCGTCTTCGTGCCCGTCCTAAAGGCGGCCTCACCCATCGCTGTTGTGGGCCGTCGGACAAGATGTCTGTCGTCCTCGTCTGTGCAGGTTACACAGCTACGCATGCAGAAACAGCAACGCCAGTCGCCGCGCCAGTCTTATACTCGTAACCGTGGTGGCAGTCACAGTGTCAATCGATTGGCGCCGTGCATTTGACAGTGGTAAAAAACGGAAGCCCAACAAACAGTTCGCCTATCGCCCGTGTCCATTGCCATGTTGTGTGTTGGGTAACGTCTGCAAGGGTGGCACAGCATCGCACGGGTGGTGAGGACGCGTGTAGCTTACGTTGATCCATGTTGTGTGTTGGGTAACGTTTGCAAGGGTGGCACAGCATCGCACGGGTGGTGAGGACGCGTGAAGCTTACGTTGATCCATGTTGTGTGTTGGGTAACGTCTGCAAGGGTGGCACAGCATCGCACGGGTGGTGAGGACGCGTGAAGCTTACGTTGATCCATGTTGTGTGTTGGGTAACGTTTGCAAGGGTGGCACAGCATCGCACGGGTGGTGAGGACGCGTGAAGCTTACGCTGATCCACTCGTTCCACACGTACGTCGTCTCGGGTGACACTCCCACGTGACGCCCAGCCGCCCGTGCGGCACTGACCCACCCCGGGTCAGTCACCACAGCTGGTGGAGGCACGCCCGTCTGACAGACCGCCCCGCACCCTCCTCTCCCTCCCCATGCGCCGGTCTGAGGCTGCGGCGCGGTCGGACGTGGCGCAATCGGCGCTCCTTGCTCCTGGTTCCGGGGCCGGCAGGCTTCCGGGCCTCTGAACCCCGACCCCGGCCGGCCGCCGCGCGTGGGCTCGGTTCCGGTGCGGTTCTCGGCTCCGGCTGTCGCTGAGATCACAGCGTGCAGTTGGGGCCGAACCGGGGGCTGTCTTCATGTAGCCGGACCGGGGGCTGTCTTCATGAAGCGGAAGCACAAATCTGCGCGCGTGTATTTGCGTCTAATGGAGTCATAGACAAAAAACAAACTCGGGGTTGGCTGATTCGTCTTTTAATGGATGGCTAAGAATCGAGAGGTGAAGCAGAGTTGGCTTGTTTCATCTATGTATGCGTGAAGGACACCATTTGTCGAGTAACATTTTCCCGTTGTATTGTTCGCTGTATTTTTGTAAAAACGTTCAGCGTTGTAATATTTGTGATGACTGCATGTTTAGTACTCGCTACCGTTTTTCCCTCTTTCGGTACTATTCGCTGTATATTTAAACGTATTAGCCTTCTCCGAGGACTAAAAGTATAGGACACCTTCACACATGGCACATGGTGGTGATCAGGAGCAGGAGAACTATGAAGAAAGGGAATGCGCAATGATCATTTTGTTTCTCGCAAAAAGCGAGTGCACGAACCAGCCTTTCTGCAGCTGGCAATCAATGTTGCTGCTCTTCCGAACCCGCAGGTCCAAAAGGTGCGAGACAGCGGACTTTTTGTGGTCCTACTGGCCAGGTAGTGGGGTTCTTCCGGGCTTCAAATCCCATAGAACAATATTGTTTTGCTAAACGTAGGAGTTTATTAAATGAATTGAATCAAAAATATGAAAAGTAATGCATAACAATCGAATATGGGGAACGGGCGGGTTCTTAATCTGCCCTCTTTCTGCGGCTACCATTGCGATGTTGGGTGGCGATACGGGCTTGGCTGATGCGTTGCGTGTGTGTGTTTGTTTGTGTGTGGGCGTGTGTATCTGCCGGATGCGTCGTCAGACGCTGTCACCAGTGCTGCCTTTGGTCATGATGATCACGCCTCGTTGACCGCACGTACTGAGCCGCTGTCTCGCCCACGGTGTAGACCACTGCGTCGTGGTTTTCAGCCACCCCTCTCCCCCGCTCATGTTACCCCGACCGCTCCATGAGAACAAGTCGAAAGATTAGAGGTCAAATAGCAAAAATGTCAAATATAAAAGTCAAATGCAAAAGGTCAGGCAGCCAAAATATAACAAGCGACAAACGTCAAATGGATGAAATTAAAAATATAAAATGCAAACCGGGCAAAAAGGCAAATGGATAACTTCAAAAAAGATGGCAGCCAAAAACAAAACGTTAAATGCTCAAAATGCGAAGAAGGGTAAAAGTGAAATGGACAGTGGCAGAACAGACTATCAAATAGACACATCCCAGGCTTTCACAGGGTTTCAAAACACACCGAGGGCCTCTGATCAGGTGTTTGGGGGGGGGGGGGGGGGCTAGTGGTCGCGCAAAGGCCAGGTCTGATAAAGAGCCCAATCTTGCGATGGCAAGTGTCTTAACTCACGATCATTTTTTCGCGATGTGATGTCTTTTAGATTATGTTATAGATCCCTTCAACGATAGAAAACCATGGCCACAAAAGCGTTGCTGTTGTGTTGCAAAAGCGTCGCAAAAGTTGCGTTGCTGTGACCAGCGGTGCCACGGGTTTTGAGCTGGGGCAGAACTTTCCGGGTGGCTTCGGGGTCTGAAGACAAAATGGGGCCTCCTCACAGGAGAGCCTCCTGGGCGAGGCTACTTAAAGAGTTCCCCGAGCTTTGGCGGGAACAAGACTAGTGGGCCCATGCAACAACGGTATTATGACTGTCTATTCCCATCTCTCAGAACTGTGCCATATCTTCCTTATTTGGAAACAATTTACCTCACGTTTCTCGGTCAACTCGGTTTCTGGGGAGGTATAGGTAACCACATTTGTTGGGTCACACAGACAAATGAGAGGATCAAAAAATAATTTTGGACATAATGTACCAACAAATTATGAGAGGAGCAAAAAGCAGTTTTAGGCGCGAGGTACCAACTGATGTTTAAACATTACCGTGCTGCTTATAAGATAACGATTTTTGTGATTGGCCAGGTTTGAGTAGTGAAAAGCAACGGCGACTGCTAAAAAGGGTCCGGCTTGTTATTAGTTACTGTGTAGTGAAACCTTTGATCAAGTTGTCCGACAAAGTTTAAACTTTTTCGGTTTTATCGGCAGATGCCGAGAGGAATCAGCAATGAGCTCTGGATGTCTAGGTCATCTGGTTTACGTTTGTCTCGTTTACTGAACAGGGACGAGGCCATTGGTGTGCCGACTCACATCTGTTTGGCGAACATTTCGCAAAGCTGATTAACGTTTAATCCTGCCTTACCTATTAATTGAACCTAAGCAGTTAGCGAAAAACTCGGTTTGATCGTTTCCTACTCGTAGCACAAATTGAGCTTAAATGGCCAAAAATGCGGTATGTTTATGTTTGGCTGTTTCCTGCCCACATTAGAAATTAAACTTAAATGGCGTTTTCTCAGTAATAAGGCGGCATTTCGCAGTCCTTCGGGTATCATTCGGGGATCCAAGCCCAAGGTTTTCCGTTGGAACATGTGTGGTGCGGTCGTTCAGGTGTTTGGGAATGGAGAAAACCCTGCACATTGCAGTTCCGTGGCAAAAAGTCGAAAGATATGTCAGAAGACAGAATATTAAATGTCAAGAAATTAGAATGGGATAAAAGTCAAACGCCAAAGAAAAAAGAGACGAAAAGTCAAAAGACGAAATGGGATATGGAGATTGTATCCTTTTCTGATGTAAATGTACCCTCGCCCAGCGGTCAATGTGGTGAATGTATCCTTCGAGTTTGGATTTCAGGCCAGGTCACTGCCAGTTGACCTAGGGTCGCGAAATTTACACGTACACTATTTCCGGACATGTATGACACCTGCAGGCCTGTAAGTGGACATGCTGCCATATGAAGGAGTCCCAGCCGGAAAGTAAATGAGACGCACAGGCCTCGTGGCTGTGAGCAGGCTGCGGAGGGGCCGGACGCAAGGCCCCCGCGTAATAGACGGGGGGATTATTTTAGTTTGTTCGCTTCAGGGATCCCGAGAACCTCCTTCATTTTGATTTGTGTGTCTTAGACTTGTCTCTTCCCTTTCCTGCAGGCGAGGAGATCAAAGGGCAAACAGTCTTCCTTTTTTTCTCCTTTATTCACGTGGTCAGTATCCCTTTTCGCCTTCATCTTGTGACACTTCATATTCGACTTTTATCTTTCGACCTTTTACCGTTGGAATTTACTTGCTATATGTCTTGACTTTGTGCTTATTAAGTGTTTGTCATTTGACTTCTTGCCCTTGTGGATTTTTTTTCGTTTAAATGTTGTTCATGTGACTTTAATTCCTCTGACTGTTTAAAGTATTGCTCTTGACTACTCTTTTCGATTTTTTGTCGTTTGGCTTATTTTGTCCTTCCAACTTCTGTCTATTTGTCTCTTATACATTTTACATTTTTGTCACTGAACTTTATCACATTTGACCTTTTTGTCCATTGATTTCTTCCCTTTGGACTTTCGTTCGATTACGGACCCCGCCATCGCCTCGTTTTGTTCCGTCCTGGATCTTACCACTGACCTGCTTTTGCGTGCCCAAGCCTGGTCTTGACCCCATCGTTGACCTCTCTTTGACCCCCGTCTTTGACATCCTTCGTGACATGACGTATTAGTTGTAACCTCTTTTGGCGCCTGCTGTGAGCTTTCATTTCGAACTCCGCCGGTAATTGCATTGAATAGATCATTCGTTCACACACCATGTAACCTTGCTGTTTTTATAACAAATTTTCTAGTCCACCGTCTTGGGGGCTTTTGACCTCTTACCCGGGGTCGAGGTCCTAATACCATCAATCACCCACCCCCACGAGGGACCTACGGCAATGCCAGTGACCTGTGACCCCAGCGGCTTACGATTCTGTGATCCGCGCCTGCAGCGACGACCCTGATGACTCGTGACCCCGTCGCCGTGGAAGCCTGGCGACATGTGACCCGTGACCTGTGCCCGCAGTACGACAGCCGTCGCATCACGGCGCTGTCCCGCCGCCTGGTGGAGCGTATGGAGCGCGAGCTACCGGACATCATCCGAAACGGGGACGCCGAGCACACCTACCCTGGCTGCGTCAATCTGTCGTTCGCCTACGTCGAGGGTACGTGCTGCGCGCCACCACGCATGAGAGCACGCCGCTCGCGCCAGCTGAGGGCGGGCATCACGGTGAAGTGGAGCAGTCGGCGAATGAGATGCAGACGTTGGTGGTAGGAGGTGGAGTGTCAGTTGAGATGTGGGAGTAGTGTCATTTGAGTGTCAGTCAGTTAGTGATGTGTCAGTTAAGTTGGTAGGAGATGAGTGTCAGTTGAGATGTCGGAGGCAGAGTGCTGGGCAAGGGAGTGCGCGGGTGCGCCATGCTCCTTGAGCGCTAATATGGCCAGTGCAGTCGCTGGCGCACCATAAGAGGCGTGGCGACGTGCGTCACGTTCTCTTAAAAAAAGCAAACAACTTGAGAGTGCGGAGCAGACGCCGCGGTTTCACGTGATGGAAGTGGCGTTGAAGGAAGTGGAAGAAGCCAATATCTGTTGCCGGAGCATGCGTGTTAGCCAGGCGCCATGACCGGCTCCCTGAGGGTTTTCCGACACCAGTTTGCCGGATCTTCCGGTGCGTTCTTGGAGTTACTTTGTCATGCGCCCGCCCAGGCGTTCAATAGAGGCATCCGGTCAACCCGCTACAGACCCAACCCTCCTTGGCACGACACCGCACCGAACCACCGCTACGGGCCACGCCATGTAGCCCCTCGTGCCACCGGCACGGCGCGGCCTCCGCTGGTGGTGGGGCGCCGCGGGCCGCGCGCCGCCCCCGGCCCGGTGCGGTCCGCCGGCGGCGGCCGGCTTGCGTGAGGTGAGGCGGCGGCCAGCGCCCGGGTGCCGCGCGCCGAGATTACAGGGCGACGCGGCCGGCGCTCTGATGCCGGATGCCGGACGGCCGACGCCGCCAGGTGCCGGCTTCGGTGCTGGGCTGGCGTCATTCGCGTGAGCCGCCGCCCGCCGCCGGGCGCGCCGGCTTCCGATTGACACTGCCACCGCCGCGGAGCGGGGACTGTCGGATCGTTCGTGTTCTTCTTAAGTAAGCGCTTGACGCTCAGCCCCAGCCGTCAGGCATCCCGTTCTCGTGTCGCGGTCCGGGAAAGGAAATTGGTGAGAGCGTGCGTCACATTTTAGAATGGCATCGGCAGCTGTCGTCTTCGACCCCCTCATCCCCGCCCTCCTCTCCACACTCCATCAGAATGCTGACGACTTACGTTTTTGGTATAGGGGCTTTTTACCGCTGGGCCATGCCAGATTATAATGCGATTATACTGTCGGGCTGCCAATTTGTCATTTTCAAGGTCTGCGGCGCGAGTAGCTGTGAAGAAACGCCGTATTGCAGTACACATTTGCGGGAAGGCTAACATATACTCACATATCAGTTCAGGGAACAATACGGGATAAAGGCATATCTGCCGATCTGTTGTGTTCTGTGTTACTTCCAGCGCAGTCACCGTCTAGCAGCTCGCCGCCCGTAGCGTTGACATATCTAAGCCGGTTTGGTGCCCCGTCGCTGCCATCTGGGGCAGCGCGTCGGCCCGTCCCCAGCTCCCCAGCCCGGCCCGTCCCCAGCTCTCTGGCCGTCGAGCCCACCCTCGGTGACGACTACGACTATCGGCGTTGGCCCGGGCGGCGTCAGCCGCGACCCGCGCTCCGTGTGCTCGCGCGAGCCCCCCCCCCCCCCCCCCTCCCTGGCGGGTGTCAGTCAGAGGTGTCGTGTTCTGGAAGCTCTTGTCCAAAGTCGAATAAAAAGTCCAGAGATGCATCAGCTGTCCGCCCGGATAGTGTCCAAAAAAGGTTGTCGGAAATTTCAAATTTATATATCAAATAAGTACTACCCAGAACCAATAAACCCAGTAAGTACTTGCGTCACCGTATTCCTTCACTAAATTAAATGAAAAGAAAGAAAATGTTCTTGGGTAAGTACTGAGTTTCTGCTTTAAATAAGTTTGGACGCATGCCAATTTGCGATGCGGCCGAATGATGCAGGCTGTCCAAAAACCTAAAACATTCTGCTACTTCAGTTTCCGGATTGGACTTTGGAAACTTTTCAAATCTGATCGGCACCTCTCGCGTCGACGCCCGCCCGCAGAGGGAGCGACCAGGCCCCGGCGGCTCCACATGCGAACTTCCGTGGGAGGATTGGGAAGTGCAGGCGGGTGGTTAAGGCTATGTCCCAGGGTGTGCTCACTTGTAGCCTGGGGTGCTGTTCGCCGAGGTAGGGGAAGATGATGAAAATAGGAAAAAGGGCGACGATGAAAAAGATGAGAGGTGAAGGCATGCCAGTCAAGCACATTTACCCTGGTCGATGTGAAAAAGATGGTACTATCCTGGGTACTCGTGCCCAAATCATCAGGGGAGTCGGGGAGCGATCCGTTCCGCAGACTCAGTGTGGGGGACATTAGGGGCTGACGGCGGAGCTGGCGGGGACGTCACAGCCTCCACCCGCGTCAGCACTGCCGATTTCATTATTTCTTACCAGCACTGGTTTGTATCGTGAGATTTGGTTTGTTTACCGTTCGAGATTGTTTGACGTGTTTGGTTCGGCCAGTCATCGTGGGGGCTCACTTGGGTCGCGCCCTCTTTGTGATCGACATGACCCTGGCCTGGCTTTCTCATTCCGATCTGTTCTTTGGTGCTATGGTATTCGTGCCGAATGGAGACCATCGTGCTGCTGGTGCCCTTTTAATGTTCTACCTCCCACCCGAGTCAGTTCTGTGGCAGCACTGGCGTCCGTCCACTGACCTACCTTAGAATAGAGTTCGTTCTGTCGCGGCACTGCCGCTTGTCTGCTGACCTGCCTCAGAACAGAGTCCGTTCTGTGGCAGCACTGGCGCCCGTCACTGACCTACCTCAGAATAGAGCTCGTTCTGTCGCAGCACTGACGCTTGTCTACTGACCTGCTTCAGAACAGAGTCCGTTCTGTCGCAGCACTGGCGCCCGTCACTGACCTACCTCAGAATAGAGCTCGTTCTGTCGCAGCACTGACGCTTGTCTACTGACCTGCTTCAGAACAGAGTCCTTTCTGTCGTAGCATTCGCGCTTGTCGACTGACCTGTCTCAGAACAGAGTCCGTTCTGTCGCGGCACTGACCTTTGTCCGCTAGCGTACCTCAGAGCAGGGTCTGTTCTGTCGCAGCGCTTGTCCCCTGACCTGCCTCAGAACAGCGTCCGTTGTCTGGCTGGTCTGACGCCATGGCGGGGTTTTGTCGCAGGTGAGAGTCTGCTGATGGCGCTGAAGGACGTGGCTCTGTCGTCGGGCAGCGCCTGCACCAGCGCCTCCCTCGAGCCCAGCTACGTGCTGCGCGCTATCGGCGCCGACGAGGACTTGGCCCACTCCAGCATCAGGTGAGCGGTGAGATAATCCGGCCCACTTGAGCATCAGGTGGGTGGTGAGATAATCTGGTCCGGTCAAGCGTTAGGTGAGCGGTGATATAATCTGGCTCACCAAGTATCAAGGTGAGTGGTGAGATAACCTGGCCCACTCCAACAGCGGGTGAGCGGCGAGACAATCTGGTCCGCTCTAGCATCAGGTGAGCAGTGAGATAATCTGGCCCACTCTAGCGTCAGGTGAGTGGTGACATGTGGCTCACTCCAGCATCAGGTGAGTGGTGACATTATGTGACCCACTCCAGCATCAGGTGAGTGGTGACATTATCCGGTGCACTCCAACACCAGGCGAGGGCCCGCGACGTACCACCCACTGTATCACTGCAGTATGGGAACGTTCCGTCGCTATGGTCGTGCGTTTGTCAGGGAAGCGTTAGCCAGGTCACTTTAAGCAGGTTTTGACCGCAGGACCAGTGTGCAGATTGCGAGATGAGGTGTGTACGGGACGCCATTCACTGCAGCATCAGGGTGCCGGACGCTACAACTCCCCGGCGTGGTGGCGACATGGACTGCTGCAGTAGCAGTCGGCCTGACCCACCGCAGCGCCAGGAGAGCCTGCCCATGTTGCCTACTGCCTCGGGAACGCGCGTGGTGTTGCTGTCTCACACTAACTGCACCTCAGTCGGGTCGCCTGGCACCTGGCCATGGTCATCCCTCAGTCCGGGACGTCCCCCAGCCCCAGCCGAGGCGGCAGCTTGAGCGGACCAGCGCGGTGCTCGATGGCACGTCTGTCGCGCCGGCCTCGCGTCGGTGTGGGTGCCGTGTAGCCTAGGGTCGCAGACGGCTCCATCACCAGGGATAGCGCAACGCCAGGATGCGGCGGGCTGCACGGCGCTGGCCGCCGGGGCCTTGACCTGCGACAGGTAGCTTGGCATGTGCCCATGTGAGCCGATGTTATGCAGCGGTGGTTGCCAGTGCGCTGAGGAGATGTTCGTCGATCTTATGTAACCGAGGTCGTGAAATGGTATAATCGCGCCATGCTGTCGTGGCTGATCCTACTTCTGCGCTACGTTTATGGTAGCACTGGTGCAAGCAGTCCACCCATGCCCGTTGATGGGAGAGATAGGCGTGTCGGAAGGGGAGGATCACGTCAAGTAAGTCCGACCGCCAGCTCGGGCCGTCTGCGGTGAATTTACGGGGTGTTGGTCCGCCAGTCCCTCCTCACATGTCAGCCATACTGACGCTGGCAGCTGTGGGGCCGTTCCCACGGGCTATGTGGACCGCGCCCACGTCTGCCGGGAGATCGGTCTGCCTTTCATACGCAGCTGCCGGGAGATCGGTCTGCCTTTCATGCGCAGCTGCCGGGAGATCGGTCTGCCTTTCATGCGCAGCTGCCGGGAGATCTGTCTGCCTTTCATGCGCAGCTGCCGGGAGATCGGTCTGCCTTTCATGCGCAGCTGCCGGGAGATCGGTCAGCCTTTCATGCGCAGCTGCCGGGAGATCGGTCTGCCTGTCATGCGCAGCTGCCGGGAGATCGGTCTGCCTTTCATGCGCAGCTGCCGGGAGATCGGTCTGCCTTTCATGCGCAGCTGCCGGGAGATCTGTCCGCCTTTCATGCGCAGCTGCCGGAAGATCGGTCTGCCTTTCATGCGCAGCTGTTGTTCAGTGGTTCTCTGCCACGTCTCGCTGATCGGTGAGGGTCTTCGCTCGCAGGGAGCAGCTCTTGTGCGTCACGAACTGCCGCAGACTGACGCCTCCGCTGTCTGCTGCTAACATGAGTGTTCCCGAAATTATTTGCGGCAATCCGGTTCGCTATGGACGCAGGGCTATTGCGGTGTTGGCGGCTCGGAGTGGTAAGTGATACTATGTGTTGGTCCGTGAAAAGTCCGTTTATTTATTCCATGATACATTATTGCCTCCTGCTGACGTCTTGTAGGCGGGCGTATATTTGTGTCTCAGCGAATGCGCTACTATTGCATTATTTCTGTCCATCGGTGTAATGTATCGGTGTGCCGCGTGATCCAGCGAGGCGCGGTCACCGCCTTGCGGTAACCCTACCCCGGCCGAGTCGGCTCCCGCGGGGCGACCCCTGGGAGTGTGGTCACCGGCAGGCTGCCGAACCGCGGTTCGGTTACCCGGCCGCTCGCTGCCGGCGGCGGCCGCGGCGCGGCGCCACCGGCGGCGCTGTTACCATGTGGTGGCGCGGCTCAGCGCCCCGCTGGCGTAAACACGGCCCGGCGCCGGCGCCCGGGCGTTCCCTCGGAGGGTCGGCCGAGGGCTTCCCTCGCCTGGCGGGCAGGCGCGGACGACAGATACCGCCACGGGCGCTGCGGGTGTCGTGGGCGGCTCCGCAGCGTTACTGCGGACGTCAGCAGAGTCGAGCCCCTCCGGTTCCGGACCTGGTTGCCAGAAGGAGAGGGTGGAGCGTTCTCGCATAGCAACCAGGTTCGGGGGCAATGGCGTCCTACTTGCTCGATACTGCCGCAGGCCGCAGGGGCTGCCTTTGATGACCAGTGGCTGTCGCCCCGGGCCCGGGGGGGGGGGGGGGGCGTGCCACGGCATTGTACGGCACGTGAAACCATCCATGGTACTGCCTGGCGAGAAGGCGGAGGCAAAACTACCGTTGAAGTGAACGGCACAGTCGACGGGGTGGTTCGCAATAAACGCGACAAGCCACGCTTCGCAGGTACCCTGAACCCAACGCCACCCATGTTAACCACTCCGAATATATTTATAAACAGTGGCAGTGTCGTCGAGGACATGGTGAGGTCAGATACTTGTTCCGTAGCAGCATCACCGCCCCCGCTGACGGCCAAGCAGCACCGGCGGCAGGCATGCGGAGCCAGGCCGCTGCTGTACTCCTGAGCGAAGTTCAGCGAGTCCAGCCGCGGCCCGCGCTGCCACCTAACCTCACCACGTGCTCCCGGGCAAAAACAAGTGCTGTGTCAGGACTCGGATGTGCAGCCTGTCTGCGTTCCGGGAACAGCGCTGAGTCCGCCGCGCTGGGCCCGCTCGGCTATCGCTCGGACGGCTGGTTACCGGGCTGGGAGGCCGAGGGCGTCATCACGAGGTGGCACTGCCGGCACCGTGGCCTGCCGTTCAACTGGCTGTTGGGTCTTTTAGGCCTGCGAGATGAACAAGTTGAGCAGGTTAAGGGCTCATGGAAAGGGTGGGAGCTTAGCAATAGTCTTGCCTGTCGTCTTTGATGTGCCGCGAGGGAACTGGTTGATTGGACTTTTGATTGGACAACAGACAACCGCGACAACCGACAACACAACCGCGACAACTGCGAGGAAACTGTTTGATTGGATATTCTGGGGAACTCGATGATGTAAGTGATGAAGAACTCTTCCAAGCTCGCGCAGCTAACTCGAGTGGCGTGACTTTGCATAAGTATTTACTGATGACGGTGGTCTGAAAATTGGTGAATCATGGTTTGGATCATTATTGCTCTGTGGGCGATGGCTTCCGCTAACTCGAAATGCCGATGGTGGCGTGTTAGATACGGTGGTGGTGAACGTAAACTGCACAGTCCGTAGCCTTTCCAGGATCATTAAATTCGTCCAGTTTAGTTGATATTTCAAGAACATGTTAAACTGAGATCGAGACATAGATAACCCCGTCAGTAATGAAACCTTTTCACATGTAAGCGTATTCCCACGCCGATTGATTATGACTGATACAGATTGGGAGTGAGTTGGTTAGACCAAATTTTCTTTAGGAAACGTTTTTGCCAGATCACATTATGAAATATTTCATTGATGTTAAGTGAAGTAACCACAAACTACTGAGGCGGCGTTTCAGGAGTAGATTGTGCTACTGAATGGGCTTTCCCCTAACCGAGTTGCAAAGTAACGCTCCTGTCCGTGGATTTCGATCTATGCAAGTGCTTGAGGAGGCGAACTGAGCGCCCGCCAGCCTCCATTCCCCTCAGATTTGCTTTACTCAACTGGTTTAGCGCACTTTATTTGGATGGACAGCGGTTTCTTGTTTTTTGTATAATAATTTGTCAAACAGCCCTTTATTGGAGCAGCATGTCAGTGACTGGCACTGGCATTAAACAACGGTCAAGAGGGTTAGTTGTGTGTGACACCCCTTTCCTCGATATTATAATCTCTCAGTAAAAACATACTCGCGGTAAATCAACTCGGGTTTCCCCCAAGTCCACATTTCGGGGCCAGGAACTTAATAAATGAATACGAATTGACACCACTGCTCTTGACTACACCACTGATTTTGACTATACACCACTGCTCGTCACCCTACACCACTGCTCCCAAGTACACCACCTCCCTTGACTATACACCACTGCTCTTGATTACACCACTGCTTCTGACTACACCACCGCTCCTGACTGCACCATTGCTCATGACTACACCACTGTTCTTGACTACATCATTGTTCTTGACTTCACCACTGTTCATGACTATTCACCACTGCTCCCGATTACACCACTGCTTCTGATTACACCACTGCCCTTGATTAAACACCACTGCTCCTGACTACAAGGCTGCTCTTGGCTACACCGCTGTCCTTGACTACACCACCGCTCTCGACTATACACCGCGGCTCTTGATTACACTACTTCTTCTGACTACACCACTGCTCTTGACTACACCGCTGCTCCTGACTACACGACTTCCTGTAGCATCTCTGCCTAGCACAAGTTCTAAACGGCTTTCCGTCTGTCTGTAGGTGCACCAACTTCTGATACGTTGCTTTGACATGACAGGGGTATATCCTCCTCCAAATGGAGATGTAACGGGCGGGCTATGTTTGTTTTCCTCATAGGGGATAAGTTTTATAGCGTTGCGCCTCCCGCCTCACGGTACGGCACGTCTGGTAAACTTCGCAGAGAATCTCAGCTGATGTTTTCTGTGAACTAGATGAATGCTGTCAAACATAAATAAACACCTTACTTGGGGCATGGAGCTCGTGGAATTTTCCTACCGCTGAACAAAAGTGGGCTGGCGTTTGGAACTCTGCCATCCTCATTACTTGCGTCGCGCTTAGTCACGTCATTGCAAACGCGTCGCACGAGCAAGGCTTCCATCTCTGTAATAATCCAGCACCCGACATGAGCTGTACAGCATCTGTTGTGGCTCCCACGTGATATTGCCTTGCGCCCTTTACAGATTGTTGCTTCTGTGGCAATGTCATGGGACTCGTCGGTCTGACGATGGCTTGTAGGTGTCTCGGATAGGCCAGTGGTGGCCTATCCGGGCATCGTGGTACCCGGGTGTCGGGACTGGCAAGTCTGGATAGACCAGTGGTGGCCTATCCGGGCATCTTGGGATCCGGATATCGGGACGGGTAGGTCCGGATATGCCAGTTGTCGCCTCTAGCGCAGCCGGGTGCCTAGCGAAGATTTCGATCTTCGAATTTGTATGGTCTCACTGCATGCTGTCCCCAAACGGTAGGGAAAATGCTGTGGTTTCAGTTCGTTGCACTGGATTGGCCCTCCAAACGTTTGGTCCGCCCCAGAGCACCAGCTTGACCCCGGAGGTTCGCTGGTCTCCCACGCGTCGCGTCCCAACGTTGCTCCTGTCCCATGGTACGTTGGTGCAACTTTGATGCATATCGTCCGAAGAAGATATTCATATTTGTCATTATCCCTGCCTTCCTCATTGCACCGAATGTTGAGATTACTGTCCAGCAACAAAAGTCATTAATCACACCCAACAAGAAGCGGAAGTCTGATTGATTTACGGGAATTCGGAGGCCGTTTGCTGATGTGCTTGGCGAAGAGCATCAGCCAGCGGCAGAGCTAAACTTTCTGACTGAAACGACGGCTTGTTTCGATGAGAATAATGACAATCTACCTCAGGGAAATGTGGTGATAACGGTAGCCGACATTTAGCCCGTTATTGTCTTGTACAAAGCTGTAGATCTCCGCTTCGGATTCCAACAAGGCTCAAGAATCAAAACGGCGCATGTACATAGGAAGAGCACCTGATCACCTGATCAGTATCATTATTGTGGGGAGAGTTGGCTCCCACCCCTCCATAGCACCGAGAGGGGGTCCAGCTCAGCAGACGTGTGCTGCCGGGTCTGGCAGACCGGTGGATGGGCTTGGGTCTCCCTCCCTGGTCCTCTTCGACGCCGTGCTCTGCCTCGCTCCCGCGTTTTGTCGGTGATGTTCGGTTCTCGACCGTAGGCCACGCTGATGAGGCGCTTCGTCAAACTCTAATGAGTCAGGCTCGACGATGGCTTGTGATGGGGTGTGGATATACAGCTAACTCCGTTGTGCTGTTTATTCGGCACGTTGGCTGTTGCACTGTGAAGTTCAGCCCTGCACTCCACGTTGTCGCCTTTTCCCGTCTGTCCGACTTCGTGCTGTGAGATTCCGGTCCTGTCTCTCGCCAGAGGCTCCACAGGTGTTACCGTCTTCTACGTCGACTTTGTGTCGAGCTGTGGGATCCCGTTTCCATATCTCGCTGTGGGCTCCACAGATGCTGTCGTCTCCCGTGGCGGCTCCGTGTCGAGCTAACAGGCGCGGAGCTCTTAGCTCAGAGCTGTCTCTGCACATGATGAACCTCATCCGTCCACTGCACTGTGACATACTCTGTTGGGTGCTGTGAGGGGTCAGGTCCCCGCTCTGTACTACAACACTAACCAACTGTCGTGTGCGCAGCAGGCTCTGTGCCGCGCTGTGAGGCGGAGATCGCTCCCCTGATCGTGCCGTTAAGCTAACCTTGGCCTTTGCGGCAGGCTCTGTGCCGCGCTGTGAGACGGAGATCGCTCCCCTGATCGTGCCATTAAGCTAGCCGTGGCCTTTGCGGCAGGCTTTGTGCCGCGCTGTGGGGTGGAGATCGCTCCCCTGATCGTGCCGTTAAGCTAACTGTGGCCTTTGTGTCAGGTTCGGGATCGGCCGGTTCACCACCGAAGAGGAGGTGGACTACACGGTTGACAAGTGCATCCAGCAGGTCCGGAGACTGCGAGAGATGAGGTGAGCCAGTGGTAGGCCGCTGGGTGCCGCTGATGTTACGCTGACTCCGTTGTTGTTGACCCGTTGCGATGAGCGTGTTCAATTGTCATGTATCTAAGAAAACAAACACGAACCGGTGTGCAGGACGTGAAGGGACGGGGTAAGTCATTCGGGCAGGGAAAACCGTGTGTTGTGTGTGACACGGGGCTTTTCGATTTCGGTAGTTGACTGCTGATAAAAGCCCCGTGTCAAATCGTCGTATGTGTGTGTGTGTCGACGTGAAGTCCCTGCCATGTGAGCTCTAAGAATGATATGATAGATAAGTTGTGCTATAAAATGATATGAAAATACGATTCATTCATTTATTGTAATATGAAGCATGTATAAATAAGATGATAGAAATATGTGGATAAGAAATAATAAATAAGCAATGAAAATAAAATTAGATGGGCTCTTAACGGTCCGAACCGTCATTACGGCGGGATGCTATTAGGAGATATGGCCGCACCCGTCGGCGAAGTTCACTGCTCTGTTGGGTAGTAAAAGGCTGCTAATGTACTCGGATTGGAGATCAAGTTCCGCGTTAAACGCAACAAAAATGATCGCGACTCCGCGCCTATGCTGAAGCAATAGTAATGCGCGGTTCCTGGGAGGAGAATCACATCCGTGACCTGGCGCTTGACCCGATCCGGGATCGTGCGGCACCAAGCGTGTTGCAGATCTCCGCGTTACTTCAGTAGAGCTGCTGGCTCTCGCTACCATCGGTCGTAGCCCGGGCTGGTTCCGGTCCCCCGCCCCTCCCCCTGACGGTAGCACGATCCGGGATCGTGCGACGTCAAGCGTGTTGTTGCAGATCTCCGTGTTACTTCAGTAGAGCTGCTGGCTCTCACTGTCATCGGTCATGGCCCGGGCTGGTTCCGGTCCCCCGCCCCCCCCCCCCCCCTGACGGCGCGAACGCCCGTGCGTCGCAAACGCGCATAACAACTCACACGCTATATGCACTGGCCGGCAGCTTTGCCGTGCTTAAATGTGGCGTGATGCAAACGAAACGCGAGTGAGCATTCGCGCGAGTCGTGGTCGAGATGCGGTCGGTTCGGGTGGGCACCGTAGAAGCCCACAGCGTTGTGCAGTGTGCGGGGCCTCAGGCGTTAGCCGGTTTGTTACGAATGAGCGACGTTTGGTGAATGGCGTCAAGCGATGTCGAGGAATCAGGCCGCCCATTTTGCATCGTTGTCTGAACAGCGCTCTGGGTGGTCTGCGATAGTCGCCCTCCCTGTTGAATTATTCCTCAGCGAGGCCTTGTTTGCCAGCGATGTTTTTTGTGCTCACTTTTTACGATGGATAAACGTTTGGCTCCGATATCCCATGCATACGCCCGTGGTGTAAGTGCGGGCTCGTGAGGATGTGTGCTCCGTACGCTTCGATGTTCTCCGTTTTCCGGCCATGAGGTCAGAGTGCCGCGACGCAGCTACGTTCTCCGTCCGCTCCGATGTTTTCCGTTCTCCAGCCATGAAGTCAAAGTGTCGCGACGCAGCCGCGTTCTCCGTCCGTTCCAATGCGCTCCTTTCTCCAGCCACGAAGTCAGAGTCTCGCGACGCAGCCGCGTTCTCCGTCCGTTCCGCTGTTCCCCTTTCTCCGGTCATAAGGTCGGGGACTCGCGGCGTAGCCTCACAGCCGGCGGCTAGCAACAGGACGAGCCGGCATCGCGCGCGGCGCGGACCCGCCAGAGCCGGCGCGCCTCCGACAAACGAGCCTTGTCACTACGGGGTGTGGTGGGTCGTCAACGCCTCGTGCGCACGCAGCCCAGGGTCAGCCGACGGAGTTCAGGGTCGCTGCTGGCTGGTGCTGGTTTGGGTGCTGAAGCAGCGCTGGAGGTGGAAGGTCTGGGATGTCGTGTAATCGGGAGGTACTGCGCGGCTCACGCTCGTCTCCTGTCCCCTGCAGGGCTCACGCTGGTCCGTCGCACGTGTCAGGGCCCGCGGTTAGCTTCTCGGGGATCTAGCGTGGGGGATCCGGCCCCGCCTCGTGCAGGGAAACGCGTCTGTTCTCTTCTCCTGGCCCCGCCCTGCGTGATCCAGTTCGTGGTGCCAGACGATGCCATCCCGGGTCGTGATGCCAGGCCTATGGGCCGTGGTGTCTATGGACACTTGACTATGTCAGAGACGAATTGCCTAAGTAGAAGCAAATGCCGTTTAACCGTGAACCCGAGCTCGGAACTTTGGGGTTGGAAACGAAGCGAGCTGCTTGGATCGTGACCTCCTCCCCTGCCCGTAGCTCGATCATGGTAATCTCGTGCCGGCGGCTCAGCTTGGTTAGAGCGCCTGTGCTCAGACTCACCCAGCCGTAGCGGGGCGAGGGCAAGTCACTTCAGTCTCGCTCACTGTCCCTGACTGGGCTAACCCCCGGCTGGTGACAGTGGCCGCGCTAAAGGTCGGGTGATGTCAGAGGGCAGGACAGATCGGGCCGAGCATAGCGACACAGTTATCATCATTTTACAAAAGAGCTTTAGTGAGAATTAGGAATTTAGGTCTTTTGCGTGTGGAGGATTAAAGTATTTCGACACCAGACATGACACTTTCCATGTGCGGCCTAGGTGTTCCGTTTTGATGTTCTTATAACCCATTAAAAAAAAACAAATGTTGGCATTGCTCCAACCTTTGAAAAGAATGGAAAGTTCCCTCCGTGCTCCGGAGGCCAGCCTGTCACTGTCGTCGAGTTGTTTAAGCCGATCGCTGTCGCCTGTCCGTCCGTTCGGCAGCCTCCACCGTGGGCGCCTCAGCCGGCGCCGTTATATGTAAACGCTGGGCCGGCCAGTGCCGCCCGTCTGGCCGGGAGCCGCTGACTCCGGCCGGCTGTCGCCGCCGACCGACAGGGCCCCGGAGCCGCTGACGCCGGCCGGCTGTTGCCGCCGACCGACAGGGCCCCGGAGCCGCTTTGCTCGGACGGCCGTCGCCGCCGACCGACGGGGTCCCGGAGCCGCTGGCTCGGACGGCCGTCGCCGCCGACCGACGGGGTCCCGGAGCGCTGGCTCGGACGGCCGTCGCCGCCGACCGACGGGGTCCCGGAGCCGCCGGCTCGGGACGGCCGTCGCCACCGACCGACAGGGCCCCGGAGCCGCCGGCTCGGATGGCCGTCGCCACCGACCGACAGGGCCCCGGAGCCGCTGGCTCGGTACCGGCCGTCGCCGCCGACCGACAGGGCCCCGGAGCCGCCGGCTCGGACGGCCGTCGCCACCGGCCGACAGGGCCCCGGAGCCGCCGGCTCGGACGGTCGTCGCCGCCGACTGACAGGGCCCCGGAGCCGCCGGCCCGGACGGCGCGGCCCTGGCGGGTGGGAGAGGACGCCGCGGTCCGGAGCCGCGCTGCTGGCGGAGCGGTGTCGGCATGGTTGCCAGTCGTGATCGCACTGGCAACGGCGCCGGGTTTCAGTGCGTGCCGTGACTGTTCGCCGTGGCTGCTGAGAAGGGGGGGGGGCGCATTGGGGCGGCCACTGGCACGTCAGGCGGAGTCAGCGCTCCGTGGGAGGTCTTGGTCGCGGGTTCGTTCGCAGCGTACGGCCGCTGGTCGGCGCGCTGTGGTTGGGATGTGGAAGGCATCGCCCCGTGGAGATGGTACCCGGCGCCTGCGGTTCTTGTGCGATCAACGGCGCGCACTGTCTTCGCCTTATTGGCTGACCGAGCATCTGGCTGTGTGGCCGTTGCCAGACTAGCACACGCTTTCTACATCGACACATTGACACATTGACACGCTTGACCTGACACATGGAGCGCGAGATCGGCGCTGTGGCGGACAGCGCCCCGAAGGCAGCGGTCACCGCCATCAGCAGGAGAGGGCTTGACTACACTTTGGCCGCCAGCGCCCCGAAGGCAGCGGTCGGCGCTAGCAGCAGGAAAGCCCCCGTTGCCTGACTGCGGGCGGTGGACAGCGGCCTCCGGTGGTCTTGGGCTGCGGACGACACCAGCAGGACAGAGGCGCGTGGCCTGGCCTGTCTGGCCTGTCCCTGCCGCCGAGCCGTGGGGCCTCTCGGGAAGGGTTGGTGTTTGAGCGGGAGGAGATAAGGGAGCTGCGAACTGGCGCGCGTGTTTGCCCTTCGTGTGTTGCAAGAGTCATCCCTGTGTGATAAGAGTCTGGGACGTGGCTTCTGGTGCTCGAAAGAGGCTCAAACGGCCAATTCGAGATTTGTGTACTGCTCCTGTCGCTTCAGAGCAGTTGCATGGTCAACGGGAATATTTTTGAGCCGTGCTCTCTTCCCTGGGGTTTGGTGGGGCCCCCTGGAGAAGGAAGCCCCAGTACCTTTTGTGAGATAAAAACGCCTCGAAAACATTTATAAAAACGTACTCCGGATCCACTTTAATAAGATCCCGACGAAAAGGATTCTTGTAATGAAAAGCAGGCCTCCTATAGGGGCTTAAAGGACTCATTTAGATGAGGATCGAGGTCAGCACTTTCACAACAGGTTGTGTAACGAAGTCATGACACCTTTGGTTCTGGCGTTTTTAGTCTGATGTGTATATGGTAGTAAAGTGTTTCTGTGAGCCATGCGATAAGGTGAGATGGGAACGGTGTCTAAGTGCCCTCTAACAGTAGAATGTTTGCTACTGATACGCCTGTCATTTACGTATAGGTGGTGGAATTGTAGGAGCTCACCTACCGTTCACAGTACCCCCCACCCCCCCACCCCACCCCACCCCACCCCCCTCTGTTCAGCAACCTGCACGCCCGCTCGTGGTGCTTGTTCAAGCCCTGGCAGTCGGTCGGACTCTTGCGCCATTGTTGAGGAGGCGGTCGTCTCGTGCTGACTGGCGCCACTGCCGCGTAGTCTTCGGGGTAGCAGCCGGGCAGGCGGGCGGGGTAGTGTCGATGCTTTGACGAGACAGCGAAGAGGTTCGAATCAATCCGTCCGGGATACTCGAGTCATGTCTAGGGGAGTCCTCGCAGATGCGTCCGAGGCTCTCCCTGGTGGGAGATACAGTCGAATCCAGCGGCCTCCAGTGCAGGGACGGGTACGGTGCCGACCCGTGCAGTG